TAAATATGTTGGATTTTAAATATATTAGATTTTAAATTGTCATACAATTTTTTTCATCGATAGTCTGTAATTGGAACCATAACTCTTATTTATTCAAACTGTATTAATATGTAAAGACCAAGTGTAACCTATATCATCGTTAAATCTTATCTTATAAAACAAGTGAAACTTTAAAATCGTTAAAATTTATGTCTTCCGCTGCATTGCGCGGGTACACAACTAGTGTAACTAATTTTGTGTTAGAAACTCAGTAACTCAGTCACGTGTTTTTTTTATTTTAGATGAATATTCATTATGAATAATATATCCATTCATGATGGATATGAAAGTATTATTTATCATGAATTACATATTTATAATTAATATGAATATGTTATTCATCACAAATCATATATTCGTGATAAATATGTCATGTGCGTCACTGTTGATGGTTCTCGTGTTAATAATCAGTTTTAGGTTTCTAAAGAAAATACCCTGAGCGTGCGACTAGTAATCAAGAATGAATTAATCTCTTCCCGGACCACTGGATGGAGAATCTGATCGGTCCAATCTCTGATCACTCTCCTATAGCTCTTCACGCCGAGGTACGCACATCCCTCTCGCCTAACCGTTTATTTCGGTTCGAGAATAAATGGCTGCAGGAAGCTACTTTCACTCAAGTTTTTTAGAACAGTTGGAATAAACTCGGGAACAACTACATCATATCCAAGCTCTCGACCCTTGCGAAAATTCTTGGAAAATGGGGAAGGAATTTAAATATGTCTCTTAGAAAAGAGGTAAAGGAGACATACGCTAAGTTGGAAATGCTTAGAAATTCTCACAACCCTATTTCCAATGCCGCCTATGAAGAAGAGCGACAACGACTCCTTTTGCAGACACTTGAAAGAAGAAGAACACTGGCGACAACGTGCAAAGGTGTGTTGGCTTAAGAAGTGCGACCAAAATACCAAATTATTTCATCACTGCCTTTGAAATGCTCCATTTTATGCACCATAACATACGTCAGAGAAATGGCGAAGTCACTCTTAAAATCAATATTAGTAAAGCACACGATCAGTTAGACCGGGAGTATCTCTTACAGATTCTTATGGCATTCGACTTTCACATCCGATGGGGCAGCATGATTATGCTAAACATCGAATCTGTGAAGTATTTTGTGCGAATCAACAATGACCTGATCAACCCTATCATCCATCACCGCAGTCTTCGACAAGGTGACCTGTTATTTCATTTTATGTATGGAAAGTCTCTCATCTTACTTAAAACATAAAGAAAAGGCCAGTAGAATTCACGGTTGTCAGGCTGCTAAAGATGCCCCTCTGATCTCTCATCTCTTTTTTGCTGATGATGCCTTATTTTATTTTTTTTGCAAGGCTTTGATTGACGACATACGTCACTTAAAGCAAATGTTGATGACTTATGTAGAGGCTTCGAGTCAAGGAATCAATTATACCAAATCCATATTCATGGGAAGCAAAAACTTGGCCACTGATCTCGTTCACGGTTTCTCTTGTATTCTTGGTATTAACAAACCCATCAACACAGGACGGCATTTGGGGCTACAGTCGCTCAAAAATTTGCATCGTCCGCTTTATTCGAGAAAGACTTTGGCAAAAGATACAAAATTGGGGAAAAGACCCATCTCCAATGCGGGAAGGGCCAATACTCATCAAAGCGACGGCTGAAGCGATTCCGGTGTACTACATGAACGTCTTTCTCTTTCCGACTTCAACTATCAAAGATCTTAAAAAATTATAAACTCCTTCTGGTGGGGCAGAAAATGTGATGACCATCAATCGTTAAATTATGTGACAAAATATTTTGTACGCATTTAAACCCATAACTAATAAACATTGTAATTATTGTCTTATCGATTATGTGACAAAATATCACGTCCGAATCAACCAATGCGATATAGACTAAAAACTTGTATACCGAAAAAGTAGATACAAAAATAAATGGTGTTATACTAATTGGAAAAAAAATCGTAGTTACACTGGTCATTAAATAAAACCGAGACAAACTTCAATATTTTAAGATAGTTTTCGTCCCTGTACTTTCGGGATTATAGTTTTCGTTCATGTGGTTTATAATTTCATTGTTTTTCCGTCCTCATAGTGTACTATTCATTTTTGTTTTCATCTTTTATACTTAATAGTTAGAGATGGAAATTTTACCCGTATAACAGATATCCACGGGGAGAGAATTCCCGGGTTTGATGGGTTATGGGGCAGGGACCGGGATTCATTTTCTTACCCGAAGCAAAGTCGGAGATGACATTACTCGTCCTTAATTCGACTCCGATTAAATTGTCTCTTTTATTTAATATACAAGATTGTGTTTGTAAATAAATATGTATGTATATATATCTATAGTTTTTTTATTAAATGACAAATATATTTGATTTTCAGTATTGGTAATTAATGTAGTGACAATTCATTATAATTTAATTTTAGAATACATTGTCTTTATTTTTTTTACTAAACGGGTACCCAACAGGTCCCTGAACCCGTCAAGGATTCTTCCTCCGAACCAGGGGTTAGTCGGGGCGGGGGATGGGAGGCTTAAACAGGGGTGAGGGTCGTGGCCGGGAGCGAGGGATGCATTACCCGTTTGGTTTCATCCCTATAACAGTAAATTATTGGCAGGATGAAAATGAATCGCAAATCATAAAGATGAAAACCGTAATTTCATGACGATGGAGACAAAAGTCGTAATTTTTAACATATGAAAACGTAGTTCAATCTTTTTTTGATGAATTTTACTCTTTTTAACCAAACACATATACAAAATTAATAGCACATATATAAATACATTAATCAAAAATAATTAATGATTTATTTGTTTATTTAATATTATATTGTTTTTCTTTATTAATCTATATAACCCGTTATGCGAGCCGACTAATCCCAGGACGACCACTTGCTTTGCAGATAGCCCGAAATCACCGCATTTGAACCACCGTGGCCACAAGGGAATTTTTATTCCTCCTTCGATTTGAACCGGGGACCTCCTGATACTTTTGACCTTTGGAGTCAGGCTCCAACCAATCAGGCACCACCCTTGTGGTTTAATACTATATTGTTTAACATCAAGATCAAACCTTTTTTTGGTTGGTTTTGATAATAAGCCTTAACTAAACACATGATTATTAATACCAAATAATTTCAATAAATGCATCATTTGGCAACAACAATAAATGAACAAAAAATACATCAAAAATTCCCATAATTTGGCCATCTTATTCAACAACAAACCTACCATTAATCCCTAAAAATACAAAAAAGAAAAAGACGAAAACGCCCGTGCAACGATGGGCGTTTTCATAAAGAATTTTTACTAAGCTCTTATTCGGTCGACCCATGTACAAGCGTCGCGCCAACCCTCTCCACGCAACAATATACAGTTGCTGCGTGAGAGCTTACAGAAAAGAAAACCCGAAAACTACACCCCACCACGGGAAACCAAAAAACAAAAACAAAAAACAAAAAAACCGGAAACTTTACTGTTCTTCCTCCCTCTTTTTCGTTACTTTTTTACACGATCACGATGGTTGTGGTTATAACAATAGTAGATAGATATGGATATTGATACTGATACTTTTGTATTTGAATGAAATCACGGGAGGAAGACGGAAAAACGAAAGGAAAAAAAAAACGCGTCTACTTACTTTTTTATGATCTGTGCGGCGAATTTGTATTGATCGAAGGTGGTTTTTTATTTAGAGGAGTCGGCAAGTTTCGGGTTGTTGCGGTTGCTTGAACTGCTGCTTGGCTTGGTGGTGCGACCAGTATGCGTGTGCAGCCAAGACCCGATCCAGGAGTTCCTGAGGCACCGGCTCGCCCCTCCGTTGCTGTGGCGATATTCTTGCCGTGTGAACCAGCGTTTTCCACTTGTCCTGCACAACCGACCAATCAGAACTAGCCATGTGTCGTGACTTACATGGAACAAACAGAAACAGGGTGGAACACAGTGGAAAAGACGTTTTCCTACCCTACCCCATGGAACATGGTGGAACAAGTGTCGGTCATTTTATCTGTTATGTCCTGTCCAGCCTATCTTACCAGACGCTAAACAGTTGTTTTGTCTTGTCATGTCCTTCATGGATACCAAACGCACCCTATGTGCTTACGTATCTTACTTGGTAACCATATGAGTAGATAACATACCTTCAGATCAACGTAAGTGCGGTGCTTTGCGTTATCAAAGGCCCGTAACTTGACGTCACGCCATCTGAAGGATCAAAATCTTCCAATCAAACCGAAGTTACACGAAACACAATATCTATTAGATTCCTAATTTATAGAAAACCCGTATGAGAACACACCTTCCGGTTCCAAGTTTCTCAACAGCCTGAACCAACGCTTCCACCTCGGAAACCGAGAAAGGTCGACGAATCCTTCGTTGTGCAACCTCAGATCGCTTGGATTTCCTCATTGGAACCACAGCCAGTGCCCGTGGGTTCATAGCTGGAACCGTGACCAAAGCCCTCGAGTCCGAACCACTTTTGTTATCCATGGACATATCAGGAGGCGAAGGTGCAGAATCATGATCACTTTCAATCAAGTTGCTAAAATTCGTTACAGGAGGGTCCGGGGAGGCGTCAGAAACCTCCGGTTGGACCACCAACTGATTAGCTACAGTTGGAGCCGGTGTGTACCTAATACCATAACAAAAACAATGAAGATATCATAAAGCAAGTTCCCTCGTTCCTAGACCAGATACAGCTATTTCATGTAAAACCAAATCAAACAAACCCAACATATCCCACCTCGGGGTAAGATGCACTCAGACTTAACAACATCCACAATGGAACTTTTGAAAGGCCCCCGACAACAAATTTTTAACTTTTTGCTTGTAACTACACAACCAAGTTTCTTTTTCTTGGCCGCTAAGCGTGTGGGTCCCACTTTTTGGAAAAAGCTTTACCATTGTGGATTTTTAGAGAGCTTTTTGGCCACCTAAGTGGCTGTTTGATTGGTTTTCCATTAAGTCTTGTATAGATAAAGCTGTCTGTGTGGATTAATCTTACTGTATAGATTGGGAAGGTTTTTGTTTGAGAGGGTTTTTTTTCACAGATGAAATGAGCATGTTTTGTTAATTAGGAAGGGAAGGTTTGGAAAAAATTGTGACTTTCCACATAAAGCTCCCCCTAAAAGCTTATTGAATAAACGATGTTCTATATCATTAAGCCACTACCAAACAATCATGCATAGCTGACCGAATAAGCTATGAGTCCCATAATCTCATTAAGCTGCTAACAAACAGGCCCTAAGTTTGTGAAAAAACTCCCGCAAAAAAAATCCTCTTTTGCTTGTGCAGTTGCAAAAGCTCTAAAAAAGCCCTTTTTTCTTGTGGGTCCCACTTTTCGGGAAAAGCTCCGATGGAAAAGTCCAGTTATTGCAGATGTTGTCTTGAGAGACAAAGAGACTGTTTCTAAGAAGACCCATGGCTTGCATTTTAAATATTGCAGTTGACAAATATACCTTATTAAGGGCTTAGGCATATCGGGAGTCAGTCCAAATGATTGATCTTCAGGGCATAGAGTCGATGGAGCTTGCAACTGGTTTGGCTCCAATGTGAAACCTAATGCATCAAGCTTGTTATGTATGCCGGTTTGTAGCAAAGTTTTCTCATCATCTCTAATCTTTTTCCCCTGAAGCATCACACCAACGTGTATCTCACCGCTAAGTATAGAAGTCACGGCCTCCATAACCGTCCTCTGTGAAAAAAGATGGTCAAAGTAGGTCAACCCACAACTAAAATCAGACCGATCAGGCGATGACCATGTGAAACATAGTAAAATAGGGAAACACCCGAAAACAGCATGCAGAATGGTTCAGTTGTTAGAGAAGTGTAAATACTCTCGTGGGTGCTATCAATTAGGGTCGTTTTGGAATGCTATTAACTCGAGAATCAAGAAAGATGATTCAAGATTCTACCTTTAGAGAACCAATAGTTGCGGTTTTTGGTAACTCAAAGAAAAGCTCGGGTACCCTGAAAGATTTGATCTTGAGCTTCACTGAGTAAAGGCAAAAACATATCTTTGATATAAGAACCTCTTTTTGATGTCGTGCCAATTGAGTCAATAGATACCGATATAACTCAATCGAAAGGCGCTCAATTACCATGGGAATCCCGTGGTTGAAAGGCTGGATTTTGCTTTGCTACGAATCCTGATGTCTTCATACCTGTTTTTTGAATCAACAGTTGAAAGTTACAGGAAAGAAAACAACATACGAATTAGATTCTAACGGAAAAGAGACAAACCTCCTTCTGATTTGACACCCAAACCAGTACCATTTTCGGTTGAGTCCTTCTGAGGTGGACTGTATCTCTCTTCACTATTGACCACATCATCAGAATTCGAAAAGTTATCTAGTTCATAAAGTCGTCTCTTTTTGAACGGATAATCCTTTAACGATCTTTGTCGTTTGTAGCAAGTTTTCCTGTTACAGTAAACAGCTTTCAACTCCTCATCTGAAAAATAACACATTTAACAACATTCCCAATTAAACAACCACACTAATCATCAATAATACCATCACATTAAACAATGACCAAGAAACCACAACCGCTCACCAGCATCACAATGCACTTCATCGTTCAATTTAGGAGCAGCTTTCCAGTATTTGGATGCCAACAACCGCCTTATTCTTCGATCTCCAATTCGTGGGGGTGGCTTAAAGGTCTTATTGGGAACCCGAGTGACCCCAGAAGAGTTTTCGTCATCATCTCTAACACCTAAACTTACATTATCTTGACACAAAGGTAAAGGACCACGAGTAGTATGGTCTTTGGAAAAGGGTAACTTCACATTATTATCTATATTATGAACTACTGGAGGCTTTGGTGCCTCATTTGTTATCATCTGTTTACTATTCTTTTCGTCTACTTTACAACTAAACGGGATTTTCCCTTTCTCAACAGAAAGTACCTTCTCTGAGCAATCAGAAACGGTAATACCTGATGAAGGTCCAGAATAAGTATCGTGTTGGGGATGTAAGCAATCCTTTAACTCATCCATAACGGGAGCTTGTGAGATTATCTCAGAAACAAAGAAGCTCCTATTGCAGCTTCCTTGATCACAAATATTAACATTAGAAGAAGGGTCATCTTCTATGGTCTGTTGTTCCGGTTTAGTGGTGGATTCTTTGACCATTTCGGTTTCTTCTCCACCTTCCTGCAATAACTTGCCGGCTACAGTGGCCAATAAGTCAAATGCACACATTTGCTTGTTATTTTCCTCGGCCTTTTTCCAAGATGGAACCCTCCGCTGAAAGATCCAGAAAAAAAAGAAGGAATATAAGTCAAGATTATGCAAATAAGCAACCAAACCAACCCAACCCAACCCAGTAAAGCCCACTCGATTTAGGGTCTAGGAGCGAGATATATGCAGACCAGAACTCTATCCTAAAAGAGCAGAGGGTTGTTTATGTGACAAATAAGATCAAAAACAGGAACTCAAGAAAACTAAAGGGATTTACCGTGGCTGATCTGGCAGCCCGGGGGGTTGGCGGCACCTGATAGCCATTAAATCCATATTCTAACCTCTTCTGCAACACCATATCTTAGTGATCATATCAAGAACCTACTTAAACGTCATGATCCATTCGCTCGTTTTAATCTCCAAACAAGATAAAGACCTGAAAATTGCAATCTGAGGATCAGTGAGCACAGCAAAAATTGACAACTCTTTAATTCATTGTATCATCATAAATGATAGACTGAATCCAATCGAATGAAATTCTCACAATCCATGAGTTATAATCATCCTCACTTTGATCTAGCCCATATCAGGAAACTTGAATCAAGATTTTGGATACCCAAAAACCCAAAAATGTAATAAATTATCATGTCCAAAATAAAGATTTAAAGATTCTTGTAACCATGATAGGCAGGCTAAAAGCAAACCCACCAAGATGTTAAGTCAAATAGAACCCTAAACTATTCTAATGGATCAATTCAAATCCCTAATAAGATCCAGATTAAGGAATTGATTGAAAAGTCACCCTCAAAAGCACTTTTAGGATATAAATTAAAGGAATTCAACTATCTAGAATCGTAAATAAGAACACCCACGAGAGCATATAGATCAGAACGCAAATATGGATAAGAAATAAATAACTGAATCGATGAAATTGGTAAACAGAATCAAAACCTTGGAAACTAACACACCAATAGCAGTTTATACCCACAAAAAGCTCTAAAAACCCATGATTTTTCTAAACTCCATTTCTGAGAAATTTGAAATCTAAAGAAGTATTGAGAAAAAAACTGAAGTTGAAATAGGAATCAGATGAAATTCAAAACCCTCACAAAACCCTGAAGAAAAAAGAATCAAAGAGGCATTTCTACGAACACATAGACGACTCTTTTACTAGACATGGAGATCATCTAAAACTCCAAAAATAGATCAATCTAGAAACACACACCATGATCAGTAAGAAGAAGAACATTGATCGTGCCATATAATCCAAAATTACTACAGATAATATGCATAATTCACCCATAACACGTCAGATCGCACCCACCAAAATCAAAATTCACGAAAATTAAGAAAACCCCTGAATAAAAACAAACACATTCACCGATAATGCTTATTTGGGTCCGTAAAAATTGAGGTAGATTCAAGTTTCCCATCAATAAAGCAACAAAAAGAAGTCGATTTCCATAATCTTTCCACACCTCTAATAACCACAAAAATTTCCCATGAATTCTCCAGACATTTTCTTCAGAAAAATCCCGGCAAGTTACGAAATGGAAGATCGGAAAATTCTGGAAGCGTAAAACCCAAATCAGAAACTTTTCATCGATCAAACAGAATCCATTAGAAAAAGGAAGAATTCCTCCTCTTTCCTTCTCTTGATTAATCACCCTTCTCGTCGACACATAATGTTGTCTGAAACGCAATCTCTTTGTACACCAAAAATAAAACTTTTCTTTCTCTCTCCAGAAATTCGATGACGAACAACAACAAAAACCCTCTGAAAACCACCCAACGATGACCTTAAACCCCCCAGCTGTTTATACTCATCGACCCTTGTTACCGGATGGATCGGTAAAAGGCTCCAAGTGGTTACCGGCGAAAGCAGGTTACACACACACACACACACAACCTATAAGACCGGTTCTACGCAAGAAGGTGACCCACACAACCCTCCGACATACTCCTAGATGGCGCCACGTGGCAAGAGACAGGGAATCCTATGGTTGTGAGAGCATTAGTGAGGTCGAGAAAAACGTTGGGTCACCAAGTGATGAAGGGTAGTTTGGTAATTTTTTGGGGTGATTTCTTTTTTCCTTCAGACATTCATTTGAATTGAGGTTTCTATTTTTAGACAAAAAGCCTTACCCACAATCCACTCTCTCTCCTAATTTTATTTCTAAAAATAGAAAATAAATTGTTCAACTCTTGTTGACCCATTTTGCTTAAATTTATGACCAAATTATTCTACGGACGTCACATTTTCAAAATTATTATTACAAATATTCTTAATCATTATTTTTTCTTAATTTATCGGGTTTTTCAATCTCTCTAATAACAAAATACTGAGATACGATAAATATAAATACTCATCTGACATAGGATTCTAATCTGCTGTAAATATGACAGCAGATTACAACCGTTACGTATGTATATGTCTTCTATCTCAAAAAGTATTACTAGAATATAACATCATTATAACGAGATAATCATCTATTTCGTTTGCATGTTACATGTGATAGAACGAGATAAAAAAAGTCTCGTGTTTGATATGATATAACACAGGAATGAGGTGAGATAAAACTGAAGTCTTTTTGTTTCATTCAAAAAGGTGGAACAACATTAGACGAAACGCAACTATTTTACCCTGCTGACATAATAAAATCTAAAATAATGTATAATAGGGGCTTAATCATTTGAAAACATCGAAATTTGTGAGATCTGTGGAATTTATTTTTTTAGTCGTTAATTTAAGATAATTAATGTTATTTTTAATTAATATTGAAGCGGCACTTGGGTAGTTTATTAGTTTGGATGATAACTTATAAATTAATTCTCTCCCGGTAAAACTTAATTCTCTTTTTATTAATTAAAAACTTTAATTATCATTTATCTCCTCCGCTCATAAATTAATTTATTTCTTGGGATTTTTTCTTAATAGTTTTATGATATTCTAATTTGTTAATAGATGTGAATATATATATATATATATATATATATATATATATATATATATATAGGGATGTTATTCTACATTCTTTGTCATTCCTACACCCTATACAACCCTCATCTCAACCATTCAATTTTTAATCAATTAATTGTTTCCTAATATAAAGTATTAATCATAATTAATAAACTCTATTCATATTCCATAAATATTCAAATCATAATAAATGAACTCCAATCATTTCTATAAATATCCCAATTAATTGGGTTGCAAAGGTTGTACAAATGCACAAGGTTGTAAAAGAAATATACCCTATATATATATATATATATATATATATATAACGTTTCAAATGCAACTCATTACATTTGTACAGACAAAACAACTCAATCAATTTAAATATTTATGAAATGATGAGAGTTCATTAATTATGATTTGAATATTTATGGAAGATGACTATGACTTATTAATTATGATCAATACTTTATAGTAGTAAACAATCAAAACTTTTATGAAATAACATATTCATCAAATTAAAGGGACGGTTGAGATTGAGTTGTATTGGTTGTACAAATGTAAAGGGTTGCATAATAACGCACCTTCTCTCTCTCTCTCTCTCTCTCTCTCTCTCTATATATATATATATATATATATATCGATCAAATGAAAACCACTCAATTTGTAAAAACCGTAAAAACCCCATTCCACCAATCATAATTTTTCATTTTGTTCATATTTTTGTAATTATGAAAGGTTGATTAATTATTTTTATTGCGGAGGATATTAATCTTGGATATTATCATCTTCATTATTTTAATTTTAGAGAAATACATGAAACAGTTTCATTAAAATTTCATTAAGTAGTATATGAAACAATTTCATAACCATATATGAAACAACTTCATCAAAAAAAATATTATATGAAACAATTTCACAAGATTAACAATTTCATGAAAAAATTTCATAAGATTAACGACGGATGAAAGTAGTTTTTACGATTTTTACAAATTAAAATGGTTTTCATTTGATCGCTCCTATATATATACACACACACACACACTGGTTTTATTTGTTAAGGAGTTGGTGTATGGCAGTTTTGTTTCTTAAGAATGTTATTGGCTATTCACAAGGTTTACACTGTGTTCACAAAGTGGTATGGTTAGTTCATATTTTATTAGGTTACTTAATGTTCACGAACTATACCAAATATCACAAATCCATAATATGTTCACGTTATGCTCACAAAGTTAATTCGGTGTTTACAAAATTTTGTTTGATTGTTTGGTGCTCAGGGTGTATTTACAGATTTACAGTGGTATGCACTTATGTATATAAATAAATAAGTTTATATGGTATATGCACCAAACGTTACTTTATAGGTGTCATTATTAAGTTCATAAAGCTTTATCATCAGCCCTTACATCCATCTTTCTTTGATGACTTCAGGTAAAGGTTTATTTAATGATCAGTAACCATCTTTTTCACAATTCAGATAAATTTGTTTCCCTCGTAGTTGGTATTGTTACATAAAGTTCTCGGATATGGTTCTCAGTTTACCTTTCAAATGAAGGGTAGATTGGAACAAAAACGTCATCGTTATGGTAAACTATTTTCAACCGTATCACGTGTTGTATACAATATAAAAAAGGTCTTTGTAAGGACTAGCAAATCTGATATAGACTAACAAAACTGAAAAACCAAACACATACCAGTTATATTTGATTCAGTTTGGTTTGTGTCTGAACTAATTTAAATCATTAGCTTTTATTTTTGGGTTTTGATACCGATCTAGTCATGGTTTGTTTAGCTCATTGCACGCCCATAGTGTTCATACCACAGAAAAAACTAGTATACAAAAACGGGAAAATAGGTCTTGAATTATTATTTATCAATTAGTTACAGAATAACCTCCTAGTTCTGGAGAACCTTAACTATATAGGCTTTGATATCCATTCGGTGTTATGTCCAAGATATAGGTTGGAGGTTGAATCCTTAGATCATTGTTTTACAGTACGTTCTAATCTTTTGCAGGTAACAGAAAGCTTTCGGAGATGGTGTGGAATGTTTTTGTCGTCCCCTTTAAAATGCCTAAGTCATAAGCCTACAGACATATTTCCCAAACATTTAAAATGCCCAAGTCAAACCCTAGAACATGACGGGATCCATAATCCATCACTTTATTTAGGCATAAAAGCAATAAATCTAAAACCGAATGGTTCACACTTTCAAAGTTCCCAAAAAGCCAATAATAGGCATATCTCAAAGATTTACTCATTTATAACCAAAAGGGCTTAAGTGTTGTCATTAAAGTTCATAAGTTGAGTAAATTAACCACAAGGATGGTGTCTGATTGATTTGAGCTTGGTTCCAAAGGTCAAAAGTACCAAGGAGGTCCCAGATTCAAATCCAATGAGGAATAAAAATCCCTTTGTGGCCACGGAGGTTCAAATGTGGTGACTCCGGGCTATCTGCAAAGCAGGTGGTCGCTCTGAGATTAATCGGCTCGCATAACGGGTTGGATATCCAGGTTAATTAAAAAAAGTTGAGTAAATTCCAAAACAACAATTTTCACAAAGCAAAACCTTCAAGAAACCTCATTTAATCAAACAGAAATCATCTGGACCAATTATTGAAGGTTTATGTTTCAAAATAAGCAAATAAATCTATTATGAACATTCTTTCAAGATTTAAATCCCAAAACATACCAAGTATGCCCAAAAACGTAAATATTCATAAACTCATCAAAAGTGAGATCACTGAAGAAAATGTGTTCAGAACCTAAAATAGATATATTTGACATGTATATAGTTTTGAAAATCAACTAGAATTCACCTTGCTAGATTTATGCGAAACTTAGGTTCCAAACCAAATCTTGTGCTTCATTTGATGAAGGGTTGAAATCTTCTTTCTAGCTTTCCGGATACATGGTTCCGAACTTCCCAAAAGATCTCTTCTACCTCAAAAGATTCAAAACCTACATCGACAAGTGTAACATCCCTAAAATAGGAGTAATTTTAAACCAACAATCATTATAGAAATATAGCCTCTTAAATATAAAAATCACCCAGAAAGGGGAATGAAGTATGGGTTTAATAAGAAGATAAATAACAACCTACTAATCTAAACTACACTGACTTTAGATTATGGACGAGTGTCAATATCGTCTTCAAAAGAATCTTGTTCATGAATAACGCCAAATTGGCCAATAGCTAATGACCCAAAAATGCCTCTACCGGCACCCATACACTCTGCTCAAGACTTCGAAGCCCCGCCGCTGAGAGAACTTGATATACATGTCATTAAACAAATGCCTAATGAGAACAAACATTTGTAATTAATGTAAACAACTCAAAACAGTTAAGGTTTAGAAGACTGATTTACTACCTAATTTATATAGCCCAATTATAGACCATAAGTTCCAAAATACATCTTACGTTGACAAGAAAGACCCGATTTTCCATGGGCAGTGGTGGAACACAAAATATACCACAATTCCATGTTATAGAGCTCGTACTAAAGATCAATGGCCAATAATTTCAACCAACCTGTGATTTATAGATCAAGGCCCTGATGATTCTAGTTACACTCATTCACTAGAAGTTACATTAGGCGGTCATGGCTAGAGTTAAACCAACCTGTGATTTATAGTTCTAAGTCTCTGATAACTTAATGTCTATTCAAGTTACAAACGAAAACACTATCCCACTTTAAATAAAAAATAACTCATATGTCTATGTATATATTGTATTACAGTCTAACACA